AATCCACCTGGGGTTTTCCACGGTTGTGCTAATGGGGAGAGAAGATAGTTTGTCTATATGCATAGCGACTCATAGTTTTTTGGTTACTAGTGCTTCTTGATGTAGCACATTAGGTTAGTAGCCAGGAGTCAAGTAAGTAGGTTGTTATCATCGTCCTCTTGAAATATAACCTACGTCTTGAGACTAAACCCGTGAGAATTTGGTAACACGAGTTACCTAACTTTATATGAGCAAACTGCCGCACTGTTTTGCCATGTGGACCACACAAGCTTACTGACTACTACGCTGTGTAATGTCCGTTCGTGTAGGGGCAAGTCAGTTGTGTGTTAGGGAAGATGTTTGTCTATAGTGGCCATATTCCCGCTAGTGTCGGTGTAATCTATCCATTATCTACTGGGTCTCTCTGATCATACACGGGTGTCCCATACAGGCATATACTAGTACAGGCTGCAGTATCCATGTAGTTGTAAACAAATCACCGAAACACAAAGCAGCCCTGGATTGGTTCGCTGGTAGACTGGGAGACAATGGCTGAGCTATCCGCTATGTGGTCTGTGTGCCCTTCTGCTGCCTTGTGTGGATGGTGTCACCTCTCTCTGCTCAGTGAACGTGAGTTAATAGGAGCTAAAAGAAAATGTGACGGACTGACTGACTAACCAGATAGTTGTAAATAATAGTTTGTGTATATGCGCTACGAGGGTAGGTGTTCATTGGTTTTTTGCTTCAGCTACCAATGGCGTAGCATTGATGAGACACTGGAGTCCATTCTGACTGAAATGTAGGGAGAGTCTGTGCATGCTGTGAAGACTGAAATGAGAGCAAGGTGCCTGGCTGGCCGGTAAGACTGAATGCCTGACATTAAGACTGAAACTGAGAGAAGGCCTGGCTGCTGTTAAGCTGAAGTGTCTGCAATGAAGCAGGAATCTGAGAGCAATGGAAGGAAAGTCAACCACTTGAGCGAGAAGTCGCGCTGACAAAGAACCTGACAGTTTCTGGACTTTCCTTCCACGTTGGATTCAAGCTAGCCCGTCTGGTCGAATCAGTGAAGGAGAATATGATGTAGTGAAACGGCACAACTGAATGACCACACGACCACTGTTTTGCAGAGAGCTAGGAAGGCACTCAATACGATTGATCTTAAACTGGACTTACTGGATGCCAACAGACACACTGGTGCCAACAGACACACTGGATTCTAAACAGGACACGTTGGATTTGAAACAGGACAGACTAGGTTATAAAGTAATGGCTGCAACCTCTGCACTTGAAGCGAGAATTTTGAGCAATATGACAAGGGAACTAAGAAGGTCAGCTGAGAATCATGTGACATTGATTGAATCCCAACTGACTTCAGTCAATGCTAGTATTGGAAATGAGCTGCGAATGGTGAAAAGACTCCTTTCAAAGAATGACACCACTGTATGTGAGACATTTGATACTCATCCTGAAGACCTGTTACAAACATTCCTGAATAGCCAGAGTGAACTAGAGCTAAGAGTTCTGAGTAACATCACAAAGCAACTGGAGATGTCAGCTGAATATCATGTGACCTCATTTGAATCTACACTAGCATCTGGACTGTCTTCAGTGGATGCTGGTATCAAGAATGGACTAAGGAAAATTGAAGGACAGATTGCAAAGAACTGTACTGCAGAGATTTTGTCCTCCGTTGCTGATGTAATCGTGAATTACCAACACACCATCGAACTCCAGTTAAAAGTGCTGAGCAACAATACAAAGGAACTAAGGCAGTCAGCTGAGAATCATGTGACTACAATTGAATCCCAACTGACTTCAGTGGAGCTGCATCACGGAATGAACTAGAAAATTGAAAGTCAGATTTCAAGAACAGCACTGGACCAGAGAGAGTCGAGTTGGAGATATCTCAATGAAAATGTACTAGAGACACTGGTGTCAGTCAATACTAGCATCTCTGGACAAGTGAGCCACATCAATGAAGGTCTGGAGCATATCAGTAGCTCTGTGGACAGTGTGATAGTCGGACTACAGGAATGTATGGTTGGTGGGCAGAACTGTTCAAGACAACCACTGGAAGAGTGTAAGGTTAATAGTGAGCCGAATTGTACATGCGAAACACTTAACTGTTCAAGGCAGCCAGTAGAAGAGTGTACGTGTGATACACCAAGGCCAGCAAGCAACTTAGTAGAAGAGTGTAAGGCTTATTGTGACACAGACTGCCCAAGGGAAGAAGTTTTGAGTAACTACACATGTGGAGGTACAGGAGGTTGGAGACGTGTGGTCTACCTGAACATGACAGACCCCAACACCAACTGTCCCCTTGGCTGGCCGCTCACTAGTTACTCCAAGAGAACATGTGGTAGAGCTAGTACAAATCGTCTCTCCTGTGACTCAGTCTTGTTCTCTGTCAGTGGAGGAAACTACACTAGTGCGTGTGGCTCTATCAGAGCCTACCAGTATAGTGGAACAAGAGGATTTCAGGCCTATCACGAGAGATCGGTAAGGACAATCAATGGAGCCTATGTTTCTGGTGTCAGTCTCACACATGGCAGTCCACGACAACACATCTGGACATTTGCATGCTGGTTACTCTGAGACCGAACCTACTCAGATTTATGTCTGTCCTTGTGATGCTCCTCCCAATAGCATCAGCATCCCACCATTTGTGGGTGGAGACTACTTCTGTGAATCAGGAGAAAACTCAGGTTTCACCGATGGCTTCAATCCAGATGATCCTCTCTGGGATGGAGAAGGCTGTGGTAGCAGCAGTAGCTGTTGCTCATTCAACAATCCTCCATACTTCACTAAGACACTCCCCAGCCCCACCTCTGACCATATAGAGGCCAGACTGTGTCACTATTATTCTGGTGATGACACTCCAGTGGAGTTCATGGAGATTTATATCAAATAGACAAACGACCTACTTCTGAAATTACTGCTAAAGAATCGAACAATGCAACTAAGTAGCTGCTATTTGTGCAATTTTGTAGGCTGCTGAAATTGATAAGTACTTGAATGCAACAAACTCCCAAAACTTGCACTAATTGTGAGGTTTCAAAAGCTCAGCCAATCATTCTCGCCGAGTTTTGAGCACGTATCACATGAGATTTGATCTGTGTCGTCCCTATATAGAGGGTCTACTGACACTCTCAGCAGATATTGGTCCAGATGTTACCCCATCTCTATCGACGCTCTGATTTGCCAGTAGATATTGGTTCTATACGTTACCCCATCTCTGATCCCAAAATACACACATACACATTAGCAATCATCAGATGTGCATCACTCACGTTTGGTTGAATCTCATCCAGTTCTGGAAGAGTTGAGTGGCAGTGTCGATGACATCATCATTACCATTGGCCCAGGCCGTGTTCAGTACTAAAGTCCTCATGAAACTGTACATGAGAAACAGGCCAACAAAGATTTTGTATAGAGAATCACACAGAAGGAAACAGAGAGACAGGGGACGGGGGCGAAAGGGGAGAAAATTAATCTCATAAAGTAAATTTCATCAGTGAGGGGTTCTGGACCTTAATGAAAATGAAAAATGGATCCTGTATATAGAGGAAGGAAGAGAGAGAGAGGAAATATGTAATTCAGGGAGAGATTCATACATACAAAGTTGAGTCCTCACATCTGTATGTGGGTGAGGTGGTTCTGTTGAAGGTGCATATCTTAGCAAAATCTGACGTCAGATTTCTCACAAACTCCTGCAGAGAAAAATTGCATTGACACTAGTTGTAGCATTTAAGTACCTATAGGTTGGCCTATTCAACATTGGTGCCAAATCCTTTAGAGCTTGCTTCAGTACTTAATGCATGAGTACCAAAACATTACAGAAAAGGTGGATTTTAAAACCTACCTACTGGTATAAGCACTCTTTTTAAGCTGTAAGCCAGAAGCAAAGATGTTTACCTGGAATAATCCATAGACAGGAGTGAGACTGAGTCTATTTCCCAGAGAGGTCAGCTGGGAGAGGCCAGTGAGACAGGGAACGTACTCAGTCTCATCTCTGATGTACTGAGACAGGTTCAGAGCCACTTGCGTGTCCAGTAGACCAGCACTGCATGTGTGTGCACGTACAGTGTGCAAATAGTGACTCGATGGGAGAGTATTGATATACTCCAGTCGAGTTCATGGAGCTCTATGTCAAGTAGTGACAGGCAGAATGAATCTGAACTTTTGAAGACACACTGAAATGGTAGTTTTGCTACATGGTTTGTACTGCATTATAAACCATGATTGTTAATTCCAAATTATTAATAGTTTCCATTTATCAGCGATCACGCAAGAAAGGAAGAAAGAAAGAAAAATCGGCTCCAGCTACCAGTAGATTTTAACCCACCACCTCTTGCTTGCTGGGCAAGTGCACTACACACTATAGGCAGCGGAAATGAGCTCTTATCCAACATGAGTATTCTGACTCCCAAGCCAGCGAGATTCACATTACATAGTCATCATGAGAGAGAGAGAGAGGAAGAGAAACAAGACTGAGTGTCAGATAGACAGTTTTGGATGAGGTTTTGGTTGGTCTCCAGCCAGAGAATGTTCCGTTGTATCACCTCCAGGGCCTGTCTGACAGCCCGAGCCCCACTCCCTTGGTCCCCTGCTCACTAAAGAACCTCTCCACCTACACCAAACAGAGAGAGAGAGAGAGGGTGCTAGTTTGCTTGACTAGATTAATACGTTTCAGGGGTTTAAAAAACTGAGGGAGTGGTAGTATAAAGCTACATGAGGTTAAGTGCAAAGCAGTAAAGCAGGTAGTTAATGGCAAAGTGAAAAAGCATGAACAGAATTAATGTGGGGTTGTCAGTGTGTGTGCTATCTCTTTGCTGTATCTATAGCGGGCCAACCTTTTTTCGTGCAGTAAAACGTCATTCTTCACAGAATTTAGGGAACATAAAATCTTCCCAACGAAAACGCTTTGGAGGGTAAATTGGTAAAACTATTAGCTCACTTCTTTCAGCTCCAGCTCTGTTGTGAAACTCCCAGTCACGTACTTTATCAGCCGAGAGAAGCTAAATGAACCTCCACCATGCCTGGTGACAAACAGACACACACCACTCTGATCTATAGCCCAGCTATTAGTGACACCTACCGCTCCAAGAACAGGCTCGAGTTGTTCCTGACAAAGTTCCATGTTAGGTATCGACCGTAGACGTTGGCTGACACGTAGGCAATGACAGTTGTGGTGTCTTGTGTGCGGACTTTACTGGGGTCTATGGAATACTCCAGGTAGCTATGATATAGACCAGGGGAAATGGACAGAGGGTAGAAGGGAGAAAGGAGGAGAGGGTAAGAATAAGGATACAACTAACACAGACTAAGACATGAGTAAAAATCATTAAGGGGTTTATGAATGACAAACGAAGAGAAGGATATGCGGAAAAGAGAGGAATTGAATGGAGAGATAAACGAGGATGGAGTAAGGAGAGAAGAGAGCTGTAGGGAAGAATGATAGGAAGGAGTCTTACAAAATAAAACAATAGCTGTCACACCCACCGACTGAGTAGCCATGGAATGCGGGACTTGCCGAGGGCACTGAGGAAGAGCCTCTTCTCATAGGGATCAGAGGAGGAGAGGTACTGGTCCCAGACAAACTCCCACTCCTCCTCTCCTCCGTAGGCTATTCCTACTGGGTACACCACCGACTTCAGGTCCGCATCCACCCTGGGGTCCACGGTATGTGCATAATGGGG